TACGCCAAGGGGGCGGGACTCGGCGCGGCTGCAATTCCCGTAACGCGGCTCCCGGCATCCCGGATTGTGGTGCCTGCGCCCGCGTTGTCTCTCAGACGAAATCGAAGGGTTCCCCCCACCTCCCCTCTGCGGGCGGAAGGAGCGGAACGTTCCGTTTTTCCATGGAATAACGGGGTCACGAACCGCAGCCTGGGTGCTGCCAGCGCCTCTGCCCTCCCGCCTCGCCAGGCGCTTTCTCCCTTCCTTCGCGGCTTTCCCCAGGGACTCCGAGGCTAGAGGGACCGCAGGACTCCCTTGGGGACCGGGAGGCGTGGGCGCTCCTTGGGGACACCGAAGGGCTCAGTGGCCGTGACTGCGCTGGAGAGTACCGCAGCTTGTGGTGGCGGCTTTGGTCCAAGTGTTATGTAAAGGAGCCTTGCTGCAGTATACTTTTTTTCCTTAAATTAGTAAATGAGTTTGGGTGTGATTTATCAGCGAATGCAGAGCTGGTGACTTGCCAAGAAACTAGTGTTTCTTGTGGTTTGTACCTCAGAATCTGTGATAAAAATACCGAGTAGGGACTGGTTTCATTGTAATTCACCCTTACTTCCCGACCCCCCCCACACTGCGTGGAAAATGAATCTAAAGGCCCACGCTGGCGTATACTTTTTTCCAAAGCAAGATGAGAAGCTTAAAAGAAGTGTGTGTGTAAAGAAGCGTTCAACGCCGGAATCTTTTGAGGGCAAGAACTGTAGACTACAGGAGAGCAACTTTTTGTTTTGATTTGCTGAGATGGGAATCAAACCCAGAGCCTTGCACATGTTGAGTGCTCCTGCCTTGAGATATAACCCTAGCGTTCAATAGTGTCTTAATGAACAAACGATATCCAGAAAATAAGGCAACTATTAAGATTCTTAATATTGAGGTTGAGAGATGGTATAAAATAGATCCAATTGGGAAAATGGGAAGGGTAGGGGAAAGGTAATAAGGGAAAAGAAAAAAAATATGAGAAAATGAAAAAATGGAAATAAAGTGTTTGTAAATGGGGAGGGGGGGAGTGAAGGGAGGGCAGGGACAAGGGGAAAAAATGAGAACCAAGACCTGTCATGTAAAGGTACAAAATCCCAATAATGAATGTAATTGTACTGTATACCTAAAATGTACCAATAAACTCAATAAAAGAGAAAAGCAGATCAAGTTATGATCTTAGTTGATCAGATCAGATATTTTTAAAAAGACATAGTAAAGTGGGCCAGTTAGAGTCGTCTTGGGGAAGCTTGGGGTTGGTTCTTTGGTAGGAGACTAGAGCGTGACAGCGTGGCCGGGCAGTTCGGCAAGAGCTGCGGAGACTTAAACTGACCGTAGGACAGCGGCATCCAAGCTTGACTCAGGATCAAGCTAGGGCCTGCACAGGCTGCCAATGTTCTGATAAGAGAACACGGAGAACCTGGCTGCCCATATCAATGTTGTAGCGCGACATCAAGTGGGACCACCTGGAGACTATCAGAGAAGACCTAAAAGGACGGCAGCAATTGACTTCCGGGCTACTGCCCTCTTGTTTCTGCAGTGATCCATTCTTCTTGAGGGACGTTATCCTCTCTCTTTTCTTCAAAGCACCCTTGTCTCCCTGAGCACTTTTGCACGTTTGCCCGTTTCTGCCCTAAAATAAATGATCTTTCACATGCACCATTTGTCTTGACCAGTTCATTGGGACAGATAACTTGGAAAACAGTGCTTCCCCATCTGATAACAGTTCTGCGGCTGACAATGTGTTCAGCGCTATCTGCTCCTCCTCATCCTGTATCTAACCCACAGAGTGAGACCAGATTGTATTCCAGCGTTTGCCATTTATTAGTATGCGCTTGCAGTACATAATAATTACATTTATCCTGAGTTGTCTTCTACCCCTCCCAGCCCTCCCTGCTCCACCTCTTGGTCCTCTTTCCATTTGCAAAAACTACTTCCTGCTCTCACCAATTCTTTTTTTTTTTCCCCCTTTCCCGTCCCTACCCCTTCCTTTCATCTCTGTTCCCTTTTCCATTTCAAAAAAGATGTCCCTGCTTCCTATTATCTTTCAGTTTGCTCTTTATTTACATTTTGGATTTCTCATACAAGGGAAACCATGCGGTATTTAAATTTGTGTCTGATTTATTTCACTTCATGTTACGGTCTCAAGGTGCATCCATGTACTTATGAATGCCTCAAGTTCATCTTTGAGAGCAGAGTAGTACTCCATTGTGTAAAAATAGCACATTTTCTTTATCCGTTCATCTGTTGCTTGGCATGTAGTCCATTTCCAACATTTAGCTATTGTAAATTGTGCTGATATGAACATGGGCATGCATCTATCACTGTAATATGATGATTTTAACTATAAAATACCCAGAAGGGGACTAACTGAGTTGATTTTTTTAAGACAGTGTTTCACTATGTAGTTCAGGTGGGTCTTGAACTCATAGCCGGCCTTGAACTCCCAGTGGTCCTTCTGTCTCAGCCTCTGAAGTGCTGGGATTATAGGCATGCATCGCTATGACTGGCTTTTTGTTTTTTTTCTTTTCTTTTCTTTTTTTTTTTTTTTTTTAGACAGGGTCTTGCTAAGTAGTTCAGGCTTGCCTTGAATTCACTATGCAGCCCAGGCTGACATTGAACTCACTATTCAACACAGGATGGCCTTGAACTTGCAACAGGCCTAGCTTGGCCTCCTGAGTACTGAGATTACAGGTATGCACCATCACATCTGGCCTGAGAGTTCTATTTTTAGTTTTTTTCTGAGCACTCTCCATAATAATTGTACAGTACCAGTTTGCATTCCTACCAACAATATAGAGGTCCCCAGCCCAAGTTTCACCAACACTTGTATTATAGTAAGTCCCTGATTTAAGAATGAGTTCCATTCTGGGAGAATGTTTGTAAGTCAGATTCGTTCCTAAATCCAACAAAGTGAGTCTGGTACACCTTTGATACAGATATACAGTATAAAGCATAAAGACCCCAAAATACACACAAATACTCTAAACTATTTTTACTTTTACAATCACCTTCAAATGGTGATACAGTACAGTACAACTGTAAATAACAATTTTTACTTGAACAGTTACTGCATTTTCACTTTTGTTTCCATAGTTGTTGCTTTGTGCTTCCCAGCAGTCCCCACCACATCATCACTGCTTTTCCTCTTGCTTCCAGACATCCTGGGCTCTGACTGAGCACTGTACTACTGTACACTACTGCACTGTACAGTAAGCACACAGCAGTGCAACTGTGACTGTGTCTGGTGAGCTACTTCTGTGATTTGTTTGCATCTATGAACGTTCGTGATTCGAGGTCCATTCGTATCTGTGAAAGTTTGCAATATGAATGTTTATAAGTTGGGGACTTCCTGTACTTAGTTTCTTGATAATGGCTATTCTGTCTGGAGTAAGATGCTATCTCAGTGTTGTTTTAATTATAATTTCTCTAATGGCCAGTGGTGTTGAACATTTTCTGTTTATTTTGAAACAAATTTCTGCTTGAGCAGTGGCACATGCCTGTGGTTAGGTAGGAGGATGGCAAATTCAAGTCTAGCCTGGGCAACATAGTGACTTAATAAGATTCTGTTTCAAAAAGACTGCAAAAGGGCTGAGGATGTAGCTCATTGTGAAGGACTTGGGTTCAATCTCCAGTATTGAAAAACCACCACCAACAACAATAAACATAAAAATTTATGTGGGGCCGGGGATTTAGCTCAGTAGTTCTGCTGCCTGCCTCACAAGCATGAAGACCCAAGTTCAATCCCCGGTACCAAAAAATAAAAATTAAAATAAAAATTAAAAAAAATTATGTAGATCCAGAAAACATTTATTTGGAGGTACTGTATAGTGGTTAATCAGACTGTTTCCAGGTTGCCTAAATTTGATCTCTGTGCTGCTACTTTTTATCTCTGTGACCTTGGGAAAATCTTTTTAGCTACTTCATCAACAAAATGAGAATAATGGTACCCACCTAAAAGAATTGTTGCAAGGATTAAATGACTTAAAATATATAAAGTGCTTGGCATGTAGTAAGTACTCAATAAATATAAGCTATTATCATTATTGAATGTCTCCTATGTCAGTGTTGCCCAAACCTTTTTAGATCACAGCATATATCGTAAATGATACTTCTCAGGGCTGGGAGTTGATAGAAAATCAATATCTCACCACACACTAGCCTACCTTGGCTCACTGATCAAGTCTGAATTAGTCTCTTAGTGGCCATCTTTGTATTGGTTCATCTCAGGCTCTGCCTGTAAGAAATTCACATTTTGTGGGTGCAGTTAAAGTCCTGGGTAGGCCAGAAGGATGAATCCATATAGGAGAGTTTATAGAACATCAAGACTAGGAAACATCTACTCTGCTGGAATTACATTACTGCAGATACCTCTGCAGAGCATTGGCTTTTGAAACAGATGCTTTCAGGTTAAAAATTTGTTACTAAAAACCTCTTTCAAAACTGCAATGTGTACTTTTTTTTTTTTTTTTTTTTTTTTTTTTTTTTTTTTTTTTTTTTTTTTTTTTTTTTTTTTTTTTTTTTTTTTTTTTTTTTTTTTTTTTTTTTTTTTTTTTTTTTTTTTTTTTTTTTTTTTTTTTTTTTTTTTTTTTTTTTTTTTTTTTTTTTTTTTTTTTTTTTTTTTTTTTTTTTTTTTTTTTTTTTTTTTTTTTTTTTTTTTTTTTTTAGTTGTGGCATCTTGTTGACAAGGTCAGAGTTTGATAATAACAATTCCCAGGGAGCACAGGTTAGGGGTGGAGAAAGCCTTGTTAAAATG